GACCGATATTTGATGGGTCAACATTTGCGTTTTGATTTAAAGCGTCTCCGAGATGAATGTATTCATCAGCCCTCAGTCTTTGGTGAATACGACTTATGTAATTCAATCTTTCTTATATCATATTTGCCATCATATCGACAATATATTGACTAAATAAGTCAGTGTAATAATGTAGTGGATTAAAAGTTAGCTCTAACCATCAATCTAAATGCATAAAATTGCATGTTGCAATGCAATTTCGCTACATAATATCGTTCTCATACTTTTAGCTAGACATCAAATCCATATTATTATTAACGTTACAATAACTACAGATATTGAATTATAAGATTAGTTATTTTCTGATATATTAACTGCCGTCCGTTGGTCTATGCGTTGGTGAGTGTTCTCGCTTAATAGAAATATAAGCAAAAGATTGAGATATATAGTAGTAAATAATACATTCTAAAAAGGATCCCTATTGATTTTTGTTATTGAACTCAACACCGTTTAAAAGTTATTAATGAAAGGGCATCAGTCACAGATTTTTTATTTTCTTGTAAAAATTATCGTCACTATTTTAATTTTTTTCATCTAAATTGAATTAAAAGCTCATGAGTCGTGCACTTTTGGGTTTTTCAAACTATATTTCTTATGCCATGCAAATGCACAACAAATTGTTGAAGAATAAAAATTATAAAATAAAATATTTAGAATAAATCGTTTATAAAAAAATATTAGTATATAATAAAAGCTGATAAACATTTTGTTTGTTTAGTTTTATCCTCCTGTGCCAACCCAAAATAGGTAAAAATTTTGACACCTCCTTAGAAGCTTTGCCTCTGTACGGTACGATTTCTTTACTCATTTGCTATTGCTATCATACAGTGTCAACCTGCCTGCCAAGCGTAACATAATACGTTACAACTTTGAATAAACCTAGCAAGCTAACAGCATAGCAAAGTGGCGAAGCAATCAGCTTTGTAGCGGTTTCTAACGGTTGCCGTTGAGCAATCAGTTTCAAAATAGAAGGTTCAGATGCCTGGGTGATCAGTAATCGATTGCTGAAAACAGAATTTGAAAATTCAAAACCGTTCTCGAGATAATCGTGGGACAGACGGACAGACGGACAGACATCGTGAAATCTGACTTCGCAAGCTTCGCCACTTAATAAAACTACTTTTACGGATTCTATCGCGTTTAATTAACTTATTTTTATTAATTCCCGACGTTTCGGGTGATTTACAGCACCCATGGTCAAAAGCACCCAAAACGTCGGGATAAATAAATAAATAAGTTAATTAAACTCGATAGAATCCGTAAAAGTAGTTTTATTCAATGTGTAGTGTTCACGTAAATTCAAGAAATCATTACGTTACAGCTTTATTACAGCCGCGTCTACAGGCTAAGCGCTCGCAGTGGACACAGTACGCGAGCCACTCAAGTTCGTTTTTTACATATGTTTATTACATACGAAACGCTTTAACCAATTAAAAGAGATATTTTAATCACGTTCATGCCTGAATCAGTAACGCATTACTTACACGGGAAACAATTACAAAAGAAAAGTTTTGCAAACACAAGCTTAGCGTTGTTTCCGCATAATGACGGATGATAATCATTCGCTTACCAGATGTCGCTGATTGTAACTGAGGTGAAATTATTTTGTCAGTTTCCAGTGTATTATATTTACATAGTGTAAGGTTATAAGTATGCTATAACTAATATATTAATAAAAAAAATAGCAAACAAGCCTTGGCAATAATGTGTTCCTCCTAACACTTCGAAAAATCAACTTAAAGAAAACTAAATACACTACCCAATACTAAAATCGACTAAAATATTTACTATAATATCAACTGTCAAAATGGCGTCGATAAAGCAGCGCCCTTTTGACCCTTTATTATTTGAATGACTGACTAAGAGCTGTCGTATCACAAAGCCATCTATGCAAATAAGGCTGTAGTTTTTATGTTATTAGAAAGTGACCATATTAACCGGATGACCATATTACCCCTCACGTACTAAGGCATAATGTTTGTTATATTTACATATAATTACAGTGTATTATATATACATAGTATAATTTTACGCAAAACATTGTCTCAGTAGTATGCCCTCTAGGTTTTCGCATACTGGTAACTCTATTTTAATTCATCTACTTTTAGGAATATCCATATTTTGGTTTATCCATTTATAATCTAATTAATATTAATTATATCTAATATTTCAAAAAGAAACATTAATCATTTACACTCTTCTAATAATCTAACTTTACCGCCATGAATTCTGTCAAAAATTTCACCTCATACCATAGTGGCGCCGTCCTGGCAGCAGAAAAAGTTATAGAAGTCCACATTGGTCGAACTCCGACCAGAGGCGATACTAATACGCATTATCTCTTCAATTAAAACCAATTATCATAACAAAACTTCAAAAATAACGCCCCTTTAAAGCTAAAAGCATTAATGACTAAAGCTATTTATTAATTTTAGCCATCGCTACACCCAAAAACATGTTAATTTTTACACTACAATGGATGAATTAATTTTTAATGTAAATCCAAAGTTTCAAACTTGCCTAGTAATATGATTTAAGAATTACAAAAATTCTAGACACACTAATGTTCGGCGAAACGTAGTTGGCCATTGAAAGCTTTTTCTTTGCTGGTTAGTACTACAGCAATACGACATCTAGTCTGTGGAGGCCTTATCGATGTCTACATTTGGTACATATTTGGTGCCATTGATTACGATTACGAAACTATTTTGTCTGAATTTACAATTTCGGAACGAAGATATTTTTTTTCCCATTCCTTATATAAAGAAAGAAATTTACGGCTCCGTGGTGCAGTAGCTTAGCAATGAGTTACGACATAGAACAAGTATTTGTATGGCCTGCAAGTAATTGTTCCGAGTCCAAATGTTTGTCCTTGTGGAATTTATGTACGTAAACTGCCTCCACGATACAGGACAAAATCTTAGTGTAGGGGACAACGTTCTTGAAAAAATAATAGAAAAAATCATTGAAGATATCAATCGGGCGACTATTAATATAGTAAGATAAGTGAAGATGTGCCACAATATCAATATAAATGAGACAATATGTAAAACACGCATCGTATCTTTTTACCGTCGCGTTGAATAATACAGAAGTTTCTATTGGTTAGAAAATTATTTATCAACATCGAATTGTTACTACCTTTTTAGTACGTGAATCATTTTATTAAATATGAGATAATTAATTTATTAAATTTCCTAAAAATAACGCCTCATTGAATTAATGAAATATATGTTGTGAATTAAACAATATTATGCGCTCGATCTTGACTCGGTATACCGAGCGTATGTCGCATTGCTGTCGTACCGACCAATCAAGAAACATTCTAACATACATGGATGTCTGAGGTACTTAAGGTACTTAATGATGTAAGGTGAAAATCTAATAATCTGACTCTAAGGCATTCCTGTAAATATATCAAAACACACAACACAGTCTTAATTACGGTCTTTGTTCACTGGTTAACGTTAGCGATATAATACACATAACAATTACTATAAAACAACACGAGTTTTTATTTAGTTAAAATACTTAGGCTCAATTTCTATAGCGGCGGAATGGAATGAAAATTAATCGTCGCGCGGGAAGTCGTGCAAATTCGCGGGTGACTGAGCCTTGACTCTAGACGACATTGAGTTATTTAGTCTATATCTTTTATTTGACAAGAATGGTTGATTGGATATTATTTTCATATTGTTTATTTGAAATATTGGAATAATTTATGATTTATGGAAGAAATGAAAACGTCACCCTTTGCGCCACCTCAGAATGCGCGAGAATTCCACGGAAGACGCATTCTTTTTTGGCTCATATCTAGTTTGCACGTTACACAATGAACATAAAATTCATTTTACTATTACAACTTCGTTACAAAAATTCGCTTCCATTCTGTTCCGCGGCAATGTAAATTGAGCCTTAATCATACTTCAGCGATCAACCGTGAATATATCTACATATTTGTACTAATTTATAAAGATAGCAATTTACTGTTTTTTTTAATAAATCTTACTGTAAGAGAACTTAGATATGAGAACAGTTTTAGCAAAACATGGTACGAATAAAATTTTTTTTTTCTCCCGTTTCGAGGAGTAATTATGATTATTATAATATAAGCTTTATTCCACAGTTCCACTAATGTTTTGAAAAAGTCATCGAATATCGAAAAGAGTCTACGTGTCATTGTCAGTACTAGGACTAAAGAGAGTAAAGTAGACTAGTTTATGATGTAAGAAAGGGTACTTATATAACAATACAAAATGATAAGTTATTAGTCAGACATAGTTAGATTAGACACACTGTTATCATTATTGATAAGTTGCATTTTAAATAAGTTTTTTAATGAAGCTGAAAAGAGCTTTATAAAGTTTTTTAATATATTTACACATTTTGAACTCTTTTTTAATTCGTCTACTTAAGGAGTATCCGTAGTTTGGTTTATCAATTTCTAATCGAATCAATATAAAATATAACTAATGTTTCAGAAAGAAATATTAATCTTTACAATTTCCTAACAATTTAACTTCTCTGCCACGAGATCTGTCAAATATTTCACCTTATTCCAAAGTGGCGCTGCCCTGGTAACAGAAAGTGTTCTCATATATATCCTGACTGACTAAATTTATAACAACGGGTGATGTTTGAAACTTGCTTAATTTTCGTTTTGTAAATATTTTTCATGTTAATATAATATATAGGTGTTTAATGTGGATTTGGCGGTGTTGATAAACCTCAGTGGTTTTTATCGGTGTCATTTACATGTTTGTATAAAGAAAATAAATGTTGGTAGTGATAAACAAATTTCAAATATATATATATATTCATTTTGGCCGAAAGCCTTGCATCCAATGCCGCAATAAATTAAAAAAAACCAGTGAACAAGGGCCGGTGTTAGTGATGGGCGTAGGAAGCGGATACGCTACCGTGAGTGCGCTAGAGTGCGCTAGTGTGCGCGGCGCGCGGACCTTGCGTGCGGGCGAGCGTGCTCGGGCGCTCGGCGAGCGTGCGCGCGCGCGTCTCGTCCAGGATGAAGCTGTTGATGACGTACGCTTCGCGCCGGATGCGGTCGCGCAACTCGGTCGACATGTCCGGGATCGCCCAGCGGACTATAATCATCACCAGCGCCACCACGTTCTGAAACAATTGTGTATTTGACACAATAGTTAATATAATAACTACAATATATCACATAGATATCTATTGAATTTGCTACTTTTGATAGTAACTATAAAACTGAGTGGAATTTGCGTTGGAAAGTCAATATAAACATGGTAGAGCCACGCCACATATATATTATGATTGTTGCACGAATAGATCGGCTCGAACGGGATAGGACTACGCTCTCACAGAATACCAGCATAAAACAGCAGAATAATGTTGTGTTTCATATGGTGAACGTAGAAAACCGAAGGACCCTTTTTACTAGTAACGAGGCGCCTTAGACCTCAGCGGTAACAACGCATCTGCATTTTAGTTCATGATGGAGGATAGATGTGTCTACGGACTACAATATCCATTTACCATTAGGTGGACTGTGTGCTCGCTTGTCACCTTTATTCTATAATAAAAACACGCTTGAATTCAACTATATCATATTGGTAACTTTATACTTTTAGTAGTGTCTGTAAAACTTAGCAAAATTTTTGTTTCTTAAGTGTAATCAGTTGCTGATGGCGGCGATAGAGAATTCACTACCCCACATCATCCCGTGGGTGTCGTAAGAGACAACAATGGGAAACTGAAACAGGAGGTAAACAGCGGCATCTTTTCTTTTTTTAATTCAACTTCCACATTAGCATTTTCTCCTATATCGTGGGGGCATTATCTTTATATTTTCCTGTTAACAACTCAAAATAATAACTTGCGGTTGCCGACAGACTTGCCAAACGTGGCAACGATGGCAAATATTCCCGCTTTGATAGACTGTAACGATGATGATTATTTAACTATTGAAATACCATCCCATAGAAAATAATACCCAATTTAACACAAAACGAATTTTGCCGCATAATAAGTGCATTAATCAGTCAAGTCCTGCCAGTCTACATAGGTCTCCCCCGTGATAAATTTGTAGATCCCGCCAAAGAGTATAGTAATATCTAGAAGGAACCCCTCAGTACCAAAGAATATAATCACTACGTTTACTGAGAACAATAGATAAGAGTGCTGAAAACAATTCTTTTTACATGTCATTTATAATAATAATACAACTTAAATTCTAAAAATTTTATTTAAATTAGTTTCGTTAAAAAAAAGTTATTGTATTGTACATTGTATTAGTTTCGTTACTAAATTACGCTTCTCTAAATTAAGAGAATGTACTTCAAATTAAGCGTTTGCGGCTTTATCGTCTTGTTTACTTCATATACTTGAGTCTATTTCCTTGGCTGCGTGAGTGCAAGAGGCAACTTCAATTTAAAAAAATTAAGTAGGCATAAAAAAGTTTTTTATTAGTTTTTTATATCAAAGGTTTTTTTTATATCAAACACTGTTTTTAAAAGTTATTTGCTTATATTTTGTCTCGTAACATTTTTATACACTTTACAAAATTTGCATTTCAAATATTGTGTCCTTCACGTATGAAATATAGAGTGGTCAGAAGTAACTGAAAATTAAATATAAAATGTGAGTTATCACTATAGATCATCTAAAAACAAAAATTTTCATACTCCACAAAGTCCAGTGTGCGAAAATTACGTTTTATGTTATACTTTCGATATATATTTTATTTACGTGGTAGAGCCATGCTGCAGCTATATTAATAGTATAGTTGTAGCACTAGACTAGACTTTTTTTACACACCAATATTTCTTCAAATAATAAAATTACCCCCACCCTCTCCTTACAGTTTTCTTCCATTGCTGGCCATGTGCCATGGAAATAATGGGGAGGTCAAAATTTTACTGTCGCTAATATCACCGACCTCGGCAACGCTGCCCTAAACATCGCACGGAGCATTCGTTTTCCACCGAGATTAAATTTAAAAAAAAATCGTCTTTTTACTTTTACATTTTTTTCTTATCACTATTACATTACTTGCACTTACATTCGTAACACTATAATGTCTCGAGCGCAATTGATAGATTTGACACATCGATATTTCAAGTATTACAATAGACAACTTACCTCAAAAACAACCACAAACGCCAGCCGAGCACCTATTATGTGCCAATAGAAGTTCGAATGCGCATAATTATCACCTTCTTTGTAATACCAATAACCAGGATAACTGTAAAACAAAGAAATATTACTCGTATCTGCTTTTTGGAACGAAGTTCTTTTACGCAGCTTAGAGTGAACTGGCAGAAATCGTCACGTAAGGAAAAAGCGCCTTTCCCCCCCTCTTTCTCTTTCTCCATCTCTTTCTTGTCTCTGTTTCCGTCTCTTGTACGTGTGTGTGTGCGTGTTCGTGCGAGTATCCAGATTAATATAAAAAAATAATTTTATTTAAATTAAAAATATTAGTTTTAATCAATAGAAATCTACATATTAAATCACGTTTAGAGTTGAAAAAAGTAACGTAAGGAACTTCGATCATGGCGGGGGTCCCCAACCGCACATTTTTTTATAAAACTGAAATGACAAACGAACTTACAGTCCACCTGATGATAAGTAAACATAGAATGTAAATATACTGGCTGTCTATACCCTTCAAACCTGAACACAGCAGAAAGGCGGATGTACCTACATAGACGCACTGTTAAGCCGCGCTCACTTTAGACATGTTTTGGTGCGAATTTGATTCGTGCAGAAACGCACGAACAATCCCAATCTTCCAAGTAATCATCGGATCGGATCAATCATCGGACCGCGCAGACTGCGTGCGGTTTAGTCGTACATAGATGTGCGTTCAGTTATGACGTCCGAAAACAATACGGACATCAGTCCAACCATTCCGGAGATAAGTCGGAACAAACTGACAAACAGACTAAAATTTTAAAAATTGTATTTCTGTTATAAGTACCGTGTATTCTTTCACATGCATTTTGTGAAAAACTGTTATTTTGACATTACAAACAGACACTTTAATTTTATTTATTTGTATAGATTAAAAAAGACTCCACAACTAAGCCTGCCGAAGTAAAAACGTACTCACCTGCACATAGTTTGATTGTAATTTGTTTTTATGGGCGGGTGCTCCAGCACGGTGATGTTGAAGTCCGCGAGTGTGTGGTTCACATACTGGTCCAACGAGCCGTTCGAGTACTGGTACACCAGACGAGGGATGAACTCGGATGTGAACGCGATAATGAAGCCCTGTTGTGTAAGAATGTTTTTATAGATTTTATGAAAATTTTCAATGCACACTTATATTCCGAACTCCAAAATTTTCATAGAAAAAAATCAATGTATATTCCATTAGAATTATGTTATTAAACCATTTTTAAAATCAATAAAAAAGGCCTTGTAGTGTAATGAGCAGGGTAAGTAAGAGGAAAATAAAGCAGGAGATGGGCAGTATCTATTTCGATAACAACTCGAAACAATAAAAAAACTATAGTAGCCATACCGCCTGCCAAGCATGACAACTATCGTTAAAGCCAGGACATAGATTACCTCCTAATAGATTCCGCATACAGGGCCACAACCGCGCGCAACACATACTTGCTGTAGCTAGCATACGAAGTAACGCTAAGAATCACGACACCAGTAACGACCAAGTTTGTGACCCGTAGGCACGTCTGAGTTCTTGACAATTTAAAAATAGTTTTATATCCAAAATACATTACAAATGGCTTCTTGTGCAGTGAAGTGATGTGGCAAGTCAGCTAAGATATCTAGTTATCAAAAAGATGGCATAACATTTCATCGGTAAATAAATTCTATTCTTATCACGTTAACCTATTTCAAATGCACCGGAGATCAACTTATACTGGTAATTTAATGGTGAAAAGTGATAACAATTAAGCACCCGTTGATGTCTTTTTGAAATGTCCCTTTCACTCGTTACGTAAATTACATAAGTTGTCTTTGTCTAACAACAGCACGTGTATCGATAGTGTTGTGATTTTCAAGTCGATATTTAAACGATGACCAATCGTTTAATTATTTTTTTTGAAGTCATATTATTTTATAAAAATAATGACGTATCATTGTGGTACCTACATATATGTTATAGGTTTCCTAAATGCCCCGAAAGGAAAAAGATGTGGATCGACGCAACTTGTCGAGGGAACGAATGGTTTCCCACCAAAAATAGTGTGCTATGCTCAAGACACTTCACAGACGACAACCTTCATTTTATGAAAAACCATAAAAGGCTGTTGGATTCCGCTATACTATCTCTATACTTGCCAGTTTTGGTATGGACTTTTACATTTTTTTTAAAGATCTGTACCAATGTGTGCTTTGCACTCCTTTATGAGCAGTCGGAAGGTGCCTAACAAGGCTCGTTTGGCTGTGCATGAGGGAGTGTTGGTTCCGACACTTCATGTACGGAAGTGAAACTTGGGTATGGCAGAAGAAACATGAAAGCAGAATAAATGCAGTTGAGATGAGAGCATTAAGAAGTATGATAGGAGTTAAACTGAGTGACAGGCTAAGAAATAGTGAGATAAGGAAACGTTGTGGTCTGAAAGAAGATGTAGTGACAAAAATTGAGAAAGGTATGCTGAGATGGTTTGGGCCATGTCGAGAGAATGAATGAAGAACGATTGACGAAAAAAGTGTATAAGGCGAGTGTGAATGAAAGTGTTGGAAGGGGTAGACCTAGGCGGACATTTCTAGACCAAATCAGGGATGTCTTCAAAAAAGGCCAGGTCAAGAGTACCCTAAACCGTAGAGCATGTATGAAGGGAATAATGAAAGTGGACGAAGCAAAACAAGTATGTAAGGATCGTAGCAAGTGGAAAGAACTGGTCTCTGCCTACCCCTACGGGAAAGAGGCGTGATTATATGTATGTATGTATGTATGTACCAATGTAGATAACACAATAATAGCATTAAGTGGTTGAGTGAAACATGATATTCTAATATTAAGGTGAATGTTACATGTAAAACTTATAATGCGATTATTGTTTTGTCTTGGTTTTCTAGTGTTACATGAACTTCAGTAATATCTTACTATTATTATTAAGTACATCTACATTTGAAAGATGTGCCGTATGGTGTATTAATTAATAATACTACTTCTAAGTACTCGTCCCTACCATAGGTGCAAGTGCAGATATTGCAGCTAAAAATACGGAAATTCCTGTGGCTGGCACATCGTTAAAAAATCGGTATGATTATAATAAGAATTAATTACATGATTATAATATGTATAAATGAATAATAAACGTATTATAAGTACCTTAATAATTATTGTTATATTTTAAAAGAAACGAATACGTATTTCAGATTACTGGTTGGCGCTGGAAGACGGAAAAATCTCGCCAACACCTAAAAATCAGAGCCATTGCTTAGAAACGCCTACAAAACAAGAAAAAAATTTTCTCTTATACCTGATACGCCATCTCCATTTGATACTCCAGTTAAAACATCTTTACAGAAGAATCATCAAATTAACCAACCTAATGAACAGAAAAGATGAAAAAAAAAAGTTAAGTGATTCCAACAGGAGACTAAAAAGACAAATAGTTTCTTTGAAGTCATTATTGGTAGAGTTAGGAAATAAACATTTATTAACAGCCGAAAACAATGACGTATTAAGTTCCTTAGGAGTCAAATGTGGTGAAATTATGCGTCGTCAAATATTGAAAGGAAAATCAGTCAAAATTGTTAGAAAAAAATATTCACTACAGTTGAGAACTTTTACACTCACTATAAATTTTTACTCAACTGAGGATTATAATTATGTACGCAAAACTATTAATACTTATTTATCCTCTGTAAAAACACTAGGAAAGTGGTACAGATTTGTAGATGGTTGTCCAAAACATTAAGCAGTTTTGTTAATGAGGATATTTTTCCTGAAATAAAAACTCACCAATTCGATCACGGAAGTTGTAATCATGTCATTGATTTAGATAAGAGTGTCACGGCAAAATACATAGACAGAAGATTACTCTGCTTATCCAGGAAGACAGATCCTAAGAATTCTGTGAGGCAATTTTATACTAAGCTTATCCATTTTAAAAATCAGTCAAATATATATTTATAAATAAAATGTACAAATATATGTATACATTGTTTTATTTTTTAATATACATCAAATTAAAATTGATCAATATATTTATTTATCAATAATCAATAAATCCCAAATTTATCGATCAACGTCCCAACCCTGTTCCATCACTACGGTTTGGTGCATTCTAAGTTTGACCTGTAAATGTCCAATCACAGCGCATTTGACACGTCTCCCGCAACCCTTGCATACCGCCACATTTGGTGAACTCAAAACAGAACAAATATTCAATGATGCGGTATCTATTAGGGGGTAATCTATGAGCCAGGACCAGACCAGACCATTGCTGAACCCAGGCAGGGTAGCTCTATGTGTGGGCGTGAAATTAATATAACTGTAATTAATGTTAAATAAATTTCACATTATTATTGAAAACTTTATATTTAAAAATCCCCTTCGCTTTCTTGATAGTTCTTCCTATGATAAAGATATTTTTAAAGTTAGCGGTACATTAAAAAAAGATTATATTTCTTTTTTTTTTAATAAGGCTACCACAAAATACACAAGAAATCACATTTTTCTTCTTCAATTACCCAGAGTCAACTCTTGCAACACCCACGAAAGCCAACATTCAAAGATACGTAACAGTGAGACAATTTACATCACGAACGAATACAAACGAATATTTAAAAAACATAATTTAAAGTTTAAATTCGTCATACATGCATACATTATTGATTAGATGTACATTTTTCATTCGTTCATTGATTTGCCTTCACTTGTTTTTCTTGTGCGGTCACACAGTCACTTTAAGCCTATCCCACACACAAGCGGCTTGTAGCAGCGGGGCGGAGGTGGCGGATGGGGCAGAAGGGGCGGAAGGGGCGGAGAGCCGGCAGGGGCGGAGGGGCCGGCGGGGGCGGTGATTATGGCGTGGGGGGCTGAGGGGGGAGGGGTGTTCACGGCCGCGGCCAGCCGCTCGCATGCGCTATATGGTGGCACACTCACTTACATTGCAAGCGAATACAACTGGACGTACCGCAGCCGCCACCGCAAGCAGCTTCTGTGATTACTAACGGGCGTAATCCTACCAGCAAGTAAAATGATACTCACGTTGGTAATGACGCTCAGTTTCCCGATGGAGTCGAGTATGCGGTACCACACCCCGATGTCGTTGACTCGCTGCGGCACGGGCCGCCGGTAGCAAGTGAGGAACTTCTTGGCATCCAGGCGCATCTCTAGGATGTTGTTGATCAGCGCGAAGAATGGAGCCAGCGGAAACGCCGCCACGAATATCGTCACGAAACCGTATTGAAGCACTAGAACAAGGAAAAAATTAAGATATTTAGAGATTGATATGAATCCATAATCTCAACTCATCCCGTAAATGTCATCTATACACATTAAAAAAACATAAACAGACTTTTGCTGTTTTTCTGTACGTAAGAATATCCTTAATCGACAAGAATTTACGCGTAGGTGTATGGATGTGAAAGAAGTGAGAAAGATGGGAGAAAGATGGGTCATGTTTGTGCCAAATGGAAGTCGATAATCAATACCTACCCCTCTGGGTAACAGGCGAGAGAATATATATAAAAAGATTAATAAAAACCTACCCATTTCGAGGTACTCCGGAAAAAGTCCCATGTTCCCAAAATCAACCAGCTTGAAGTCCTTTACCCACTGCATCGGACTTTTTATTCTGAAAGTAAAAATGGAACTTCAATTTGATAATTTCACTCATCGATCATATAATTCATTCATCAGTACCACGAAAATGCATCCAATTTTTACAAAACGCCTTTTAAAAAAGCAAGTGTTTCTCAATTCGGCTGTATGTTCTTATTTCGCTACTAGCTGTTCCCCGCGACATCGTCCGCGTGGAATTAATATACCTTTTTCTGCCGACTTCCAAAAAGGAGACGGTACTCAATTCGAATGTATGTTTATTTTTAAATGTGTTACCTCATCACTTTTTACTGGGTGAACCGATTTCGATGATTCTTTCTTTTATTTGAAAGCTGATACTTCTCGTGTGGTCCCATATGAATTAGATCAAGATCGGACCAATAGTTTTTGAGTTATTCTTAATAACTTATATTGAAGTCAGCTGTAGAACATTTTTAATTTTAAATTATCTCAAAACTAGCTTTAGTTACTCCTTATAACATCAGCTATCTGCCAGTGAAAAGTCAAGTGAAAGCAATAGCCAGAACAAACATACAAGACGGACATTTTTTTATATATACCGTTATATACTTTCATATGCATTTAGTAAAAAGCTGTTATTTTTACATTACAAACAGACACGTAAATTTTATTTATGTGTATAGATGAAAGCTACGCGATATGTCGTCCATTGTGAATCAATTTTGAGGATTCTTTTTTAATAAACATAAGATATAGATACTTCAGGGGTGGTCCCATAAAATTTTGAAAAAAATCCTATTCTAAAGATGACAGAATACGAGATGGAGTTTTGACTGAAACTTTTTATTGGACATTCTGGTTTTTAACTTGAGCTTGTGATATTTCTTAGTCCACACAATGTGAAACTATTTAATTATTTTTAGTTTTTTGAAGTTAGTTGTTACGGCCCTCAGTTGCCCCGACAGAAGTCGACTGGACTAGGGCCCATGAGTAGCCCACTCGACGGGCAACCAGAGGGTTCGGGGCCAAATGGCCTATGGATAATTATTATGTAATGGCTGATAAGCAAATACAAACTTACCGAGTTCCGGAGGTAGGGTCAACCACAAGGTACCGTCAGGGGTTAAGTTGGTGGTATGTAAGTGGTGTGCGAAAGTGTGTAAATGTAACCTGACGTCACCGATGTAATCGGACAGCAGACCCACAAGCGCTGCTATGCTCCCAAAGATGTGCGATCACTTGGTAGGGCGTTCACCTTTATGTAAACTCAAGTCTAACGTCACTTAGCACAAAATCATAATCGAAAACGAACACGATCTCCTCTCGGGTCACAAATTTTTAGCGTTCTACCGATAAAGGAAAAATGTTCAAACTCAAGAAGAGCCTCGTTGTCACGTAAACGCACGAAAAAGACGACGCAATAAGAGGCTGTATTCACGCGACCTAACGATTCAAGCCTAATTTGCCGACTATATGACACCGGCCGCCGCGGGCAAAAAACGAGTCCCGCCGGCCCAGGCGTCAAAACCGGTTGCTAGCCCACACGTCAGGCGACCGAGACGAGCGTTTTGAATGCAAGTTTTAAATGTTAAGATTTGGCCTAAACATTGATTTTTACTTTTAATAAAAGTTGGATGATGAAGGAACTGTTTTAAGTTTAACTTTAATCAAACGTATCCTTTAATCAATCGTATATACTCTTCCCCTCGGACCTCGGTAATGAGTAGTCGCATTTAAACCTCTTGTAAAAATTTTAAATAATAAAATAGCATAAATCTAAATTAAATTCAGTGATAATATTGGGAGCGACGAATCCGCAAGGAGCTTATTTATCCAGCCAAACAACAAGCGCGGATGCGGAGTCACTGTGGGTGAGACCAGCTTATATTTCTATCGTGCTTACCCCTGTCTAATGTCACGTCGTGCTGTGCCCACTTTCGACTGCTTGTAACCGTATGCGCGCCTAGTACTCTGATCCCTGCGCTGTATGTATATGATTACTGCATACGCATAATCGATAACATCTTTCCTCTCGCTCTCTTGCCGTAGTGTATTTGCTACGGCGATCGCGTAGCGGTGACTGCACTACGGAAGGACTACGACTGGTTTGTTACTTACTACGAACAAAAAGGGCCGCATAACTTAAATATGGATTCACAACTATTAGACAAGACACAGTCGGAACCTAATTTAAACACAGCAGATGAGGAATCCACAAGTGGCTATATCACCACCCGTATGAAGAGAAAACGGAGTAATGACTTTTCAGAATTTCGCGAGGAAATGATAGAACTCTTTAATTCCTGGTCAGAAAGACAAAACGACCAGTTGCAAAAGTTGTTTCCAATATTAAACAACATTCAAACAGCTAACAAGGGTATAGAAAACTCCATATCTTTTCTAGCAGAGCAAAATGCCGAGTTCAAAAATAAAATAGAACACCTGGAGTTGGAAATAAAAAAGAAGAATGAACATATAGCGATAATAGAGGACCGGCTTGAGGAACTAATGAGAAACTCTCGAAAAAGTTCCATTGAAATAAAAAATGTACCTATTGATTCGCATACAACAAAAGAAGAGCTAATTGGCTTAGTGAATAACTTCACTAAAACTCTGGACTTAAACCTATCAAAAAGCGATATCAAAGACATCTACAAGTCCAAAGGATCAACGGAAAGAAAAACAATAATTGTCGAACTCAATTCAACCATTTCTAAAGATCAAATCCTAAGGAGTGTCAAAGAATTCAACGTGCGCAACAAATCTAATAAGTTAGCTGCTAAACACTTGGGCATTAAGAAATATGCAGATACCCCAATCTTCATTAGTGAAAATCTGACTCCGTTTGCATCTAGATTGTTCTTTCTTGCAAGAGACCTCAAAAAATCTAAAGGATATAAATTTTGTTGGACCTCATACGGACGTGTATATCTGAGAAAAGACGAAAAATCTCCTATAATACAAGTTCACAGTGAATCTCAAATCCAGAATCTGATGAATGAGTGACTAGCCGACTACGTAACTTTACTTTTACTTTTAATTTCTTATTATTGCATTTGTATTTCTCCATTTAATAGAACTTTCCACAAAATAAATAAAGTTAGGTACTTTTATCTCATACAGTCAAGCAAATCAACAATTCTTAAACATCATCCAGTTCATTACTCTTTAAAAAAAACTAAATCAATATATAATTATATAAAACATTGTATTCTACTGAAATTGTGGTACAATGCCAATACAGTTAATTGTTATTATTACTCTAATATTTATCTTGCATTCAGTTTTAGTGTTTATAGAACATTGTGTGTGACTTTTCTAGCTAGTATAACAATTGCAAAATACCATAATATTTTTCAAAACACTAAATGTTACAGGTATAACCTTTCAACTACACCGTTTACTTGTATTATTTTCAATAATGGATAAAAACAATCAGGAAATTATGCATGAATTAGACAACTTAACAAACATTAAGAGTTTCTCGTGTTCCATAAATAATTTGCATGACTACTTACCATCTCTGAAGCCGTCATACTCTATAGCAAACCAAAATATCAGAAGCATTTATAAGAATTCCGATGATTTAAGTGCCAACCTAACTCTACTTTCACAAAACATTGACATTATTGTACTTACTGAATGTAGGCTAAACCCCAATATACCGATACCCCTTAGGTCAGGTTACTTAGCCTATTGCACCACATTCAAAGTCACGAAAAGTGATGGTGTTGCTGTTTATGTTAACAATTCCTTGGAACATAAAGTAAAAGAAATATCAATATCAGAGGCATCTTGTCTTGAAGTTACTTTACCGGACTGCATTTTTTTGTGTATATATAGATCTCCGTCAAATAAAAATATAGATAATTTCCTGAGCTCTCTAGATGCTCTTCTAAACGATGACAAATATGATAAAAATATTCTTATCATAGGTGATATAAATATAAACATTATGGAAGAAACGATGGATTATCGTGGTACCAACTACCTAGAAATGCTCTCAAACACATGGCCTATTACCTGGACATAGATATAACACAAGAGTTAATAGTTGTATAGACCACGTTATTGCTAACATAGACCCTACTAAACTCTCAGCCACAATAGCCGTATTAGAATTGACCATAACAGACCATCTAATGACATTAATTTATATTCATTCTAATACAAAACAGGTATCGCGTAACATTGCGAAAACCATTATAGACTATCCGGGAGCACTTGCTACTTTGCGTGAACATAAAACCTCTGAACTGTTGTCAATTGATCAGCCGGAGGATTTAGCTCGGGAAATTGTAAATGTTATATCCACATCTCTGACACAAAATACCAAAACCATCAATGTACCTCGCAATAAAAGACTATTAAAACCTTGGATTACACCCGGTATGCTAAGATGCATTAACAACAGAAACAAACTTCAAAAACAACTAAAACAGGACTCAACAAACACAATTTTACAAATAACCTACAGAAGATATCGCAACTATTGTAACAACATGCTCAAAAAATTAAGACGACAATACGAAAGGGAACAATTACTTAAAACTAAAAATAATAACAAACTTTTATGGAACACCATAAAAACTATAACAAACTTAAACTCGACAAAATCAAAAAATGAAGATTTAATTAATATTACAGGTTCAGCTATAGAGTCGGCGAACTTAATTAACAGCCATTTTATTTATGTAGGCAAAACACTTGCTGAGGAAATATCACCTGCCCCGAAAACAAATGACTACAAAGAATCATTCAACTCTTTTCCCGCTGTTACAAACTCGATTGGTATTGTTGAACCAGATCTGTCCGAGATTGAAATGATTATTATGAATCTGAAGTCCGATTCCGCCTGTGGTTGGGATAAAATACCCACAAGATTTATAAAAATGGCGAAATTAGAACTCATCCCTATCTTACATCATTTGTTCTCTCTTTGCTTCACCAAAGGAGTTTTTCCCCAGGTTTTCAAACGTGCCATAATCCATCCTATCTATAAGAGTGGGGAAAGAGACGACTTAAATAATTACAGGACTATTTCAATACTTAGTGCCCTTTCCAAAATTTTTGAAAAACTAATAAACAAACGTCTCTTAAATTTTCTGAATAAATATGACATTATCTCTGCTTCTCAGTTTGGCTTTCGGGAGAAGAAAAACACAGAAGATGCTGTTCTTTCTCTGACCAGCAAAATCGTCGACTTAACTAATAACAAATTAAAAACCCTTTGTGTATTTTTAGACTTAAAAAAAGCCTTTGACACTGTCTCTATCCCCATTCTTATAGAGAAACTGTTTCGACTTGGAATACGTGGTCCATTTCACACCCTTCTCACTGACTACCTTAATAAGAGAGCCCAACAGGTAAAACTTGATGATCTCGTTTACAGTTCAGTTGAGCCTACATCTCTATATGGCGTCCCACAAGGTAGCGTACTTGGCCCTACCTTGTTTCTTATCTATATTAATGACCTTAATCTTATAAAACTTGAAAAGGGCACAATCATTTCCTACGCTGATGATACGGCCCTTCTCTTCCATGGAGAAAGCTGGCAGGATGTATATAACATAGCAGAGAAGGGCCTTCAAATAGTAACTAAATGGTTAAAAAACAATCTATTATCTTTAAATATTAATAAAACTTGCTACATTACATTCTCAATTCTTAACTCTCTACAACCTCCTTCTAATCTGCAACTAACGGCCCACACTTGTAGCAAAAACTCTCTCATATGCGAGTGTAGCGCTTTAGAAAAGGTCTCTTCCGTTAAATATCTTGGTATATATATAGATCAGCAATTAAATTGGCAAAGACAAATTGAAAATTGTACATCAAGAGTTAGAAAAATGATATGGTTATTTAAATATCTTAGATATGTTGCGGACAGACAACTTCTGATTCATATATATAAAACTTTAGTGCAGTCGATCATCAGTTACTGTTTGCCTATTTGGGGTGGAACGCACAAAACGAAATTAATTCAGCTTGAACGTGCTCAAAGATCGATCTTGAAAGTTATACTAATGAAAAAAATTACATACAGCACCGTGAAAGTATACGATGATTGTAATGTTCTTACCGTTAGACAGCTTTATATCTTACTGTGTGTTCTAAAAACTCATAAAACCAATACTCCTGATGATAAAATCAATGCTAAACGAAATCCATACTGTGTTATTCGAAATAAAATATCTAAAACCGTTTTTGCACAAAATCAATACTGCTCAAAATCAATAATTTTATATAACAAAATAAATAGAGTACTACACATTTATAACATGTCATTTCTGGAATGCAAAAGAACGTTAATTGCTTGGCTGAAGCAATTGGATTACCTTAAGACTGAAAATTTGGTATGACATCTTGATGACCGAATTTAAATTAGATAAGATTTGTTATGTTTTTTAGTTTTTTTTTTTAGATGTAGATGATTTACTATAATTTACTTTTTGGATGTTTACTCCGTTGCCGAGTTCTAGGAATTTAAAAAAAAATTGTTAATATACATGTATGAATTATTACAAACTTGAAGAGCGCTTTATCCTAGGACAAGTTTATTTAAACTTAAATGGATAAGGCCCACACACTCTGTAAAACATGTACTTTTACCAATAAATAAATTATTATTTAATTTAATTTATTTAATAACGTATGAAAATTGTGACAGAACATAAACTCAGTCTTGAAACACATGAGTAAACATTTTCTAGTCCTTTTGTTACACTTATTATAGAGATTTGAATCCAAGACAATTAAATAATATCAGCTAACAGGCTACGATATATACTCACATATCCATAGGGAATGAATATTTGTCGAATCAAAATTGATATTTCATGATGTATGAACAAACAAACAACTTCTTCTTAAAACTTCTAATTAACATACAAATCGGACAGATTTACCTGTTTTTCCTTCCGATGGTGCGAATGATGTTCCACCACTTGAGGACGTACGGCATCATCATCTCTACGACGGTGTTGATGAACTGTTTGCCGATCATTATGATAGCCAACTGAATAGACAACTCGAGCAAGCAGCCACCGGGAGCGCACTGTAAATGTAAGAAACAACTGATAAACAAATTACATTTTCTTTCTTGATGACTGGGTGGGATGGGTGGCTTAATGATCGCAGTGCCAGACGTGATCGTACCACCTTTAATTTTGCAACCCATCACCAGACTTGTAGTTTTACGCCTGAAGTAAAGAGATGGTTACACCGCCATCTGTTCGAAGCCACCAGAACTTTCTGGAAATAAAGAACATGCAATACTTTTTAAGATGTCTACTTACCATCAGCACTGCTAGCATGGGCTGGGGACAAAAATTTATCCCCTAATTATATCCACTGACAACAAGAGATAATATTATGTTGTCCTTATGCCAAAGCACGGCAACGGGAAGAAGTATATCCTCGTTTGACATAACAAGTAAACATATATCCCCCGTTCGTAGCATGGAGCCAAATGAAAGATAAAAAATTATGCTATTTTGACATTTGAAAGGGACAATTTTATCCCAGTTTATTTTTTTTTGTTTTAAAAAACGTTACCCCCACACTAGGAATTTCTCCTGTATCGTGGAGGCAGTTTACAAACATCAATTGCACAAGGACAAACATCCAGACCCGGAACAATTATTTGTAGGCCATACAAATCTTGTTCCGTGCGGGATTCGAACCCGCGGCCCCCAGCGCAACAACTCATTGCTAAGCCACTACGCCACGGAGCCGTCAATTGGATGTGGGTTTAAGTTTATATTCATACAAAAAAATTATCAAGTCTAAGCCTATCTCCCATTTTATCTACTGTGGATATTATATCCACCGGTGTACCCATGCTCGAAGGGTGGATAAAACTAAGTTAAGGGATAAACATTTTTTCCTTTTCTCGGGGATAAAATTGTCTCCTGCCCATGCTAGCCCTGCAGGTAGACTGTGTGCTCGTTTGTCACCAATATTCCATAAAAAAAAGTTGTATTATTAAACAATACATTACCTCTTCCTGTCTATGACCAAACAGTCTCACATAGTCACCGGGTCGGCCGACATATTTGCCCTTAAAGAATGCGATGTAAAAAATGGACGCGTAGTAGTTCACGAACTGCAAGAGATATATCTTGAGCGTCAATGAGTCGTCAAACTCCGTCTGGGTGCGCAACAACTCCTTCTCAGTTAACCATTCCGCTAAGCACTGGTACACCTAAAAGAGAATAAACTATTATGAACTTTATAAATTTAACACTAAAGGCGATATTACATTACTCTCGATAAGAACTATTAACGTCATTATTTTTTTGTAAAATGTATTATACGTGCACACCTCTTGGTGCATAAGATGATAAATTTTTTACACACATGAATCTGGTTATAATACACTATACGGTTACGATAATACATGATACAGGAGTCTATTTATGGGCACTATATATTAAGCGCTAAAATATTATCATACTATATTAATCTACATATTTACTATTGGTGCGCGAGTTCATTACTCGTAGCATTTGGAGTTCATTAGTTTAAATATGACAAAGTTCTTACACCTAATGCCCTACTAAATGCATTAAGGGCACCCAAGAACAAAAATTATTTTTTTCAAGCTGATAACCACAACTTAGTCCGCATTGCTTGATATATTAACAAAGAAAATACACGTCACTGAACACGTAGTGTTTATAAAAATTGTTGTTTCTTGAAACTTTAATATCTAAATTAATTGAAGATATCGCAATTTTTTTTTGTAGATAAGGGGCAAGTGTCTAAGAAATAAAACATAGAAAACCTAATTGAAATCTATCCAGTAGTTTTTCCGTGATGCGTGCACAACTGCAAACCTCTATCATTTTATTTATATAAAATAATAATACAGTGACAAACAAGGCAACAATGCACAGTGGTAAGTGGCTCCTGCAAGACATGAGTAATTGTTACCAATTTCAAACAAAGTACAAAGACGGATATGTTAACACTGTTGAGGGCAAAGATGGAAATCGAGTTAGATAGTAGAAAAAAAAATACTCGTACATGTCGGAGAATCCTTGGCGTCATCCACATATTATTTTATTATATTATAGTATTATATTGATATATTACTATTATAATACTTTATCCAAAAGTAAATCATTGTGCTACAGAGGCTAAATTAGTTTTACTGTGTCATTAAGGACAATAGTGTAAAGCAGTGTGACAACAATTTGCTTATAAAATTTATTGTTTTGGGCAATAATATTATAAGAAAAAAATAAAGGTAGACAACTAACAGTTTTAACATGCTCCTTGAGTGGCACGTTAAAACTGTTCGTAAGCTAACTTTTTCTCAGTGTTCGATTTTTTACTTATAACATCATTTAATTTGGATCTACAATCAAGAAAAAAAAAATTTTTTTTGCTGTTTTTCGGCTTGTGTCTTTAGAGATATTCCAGACCCTCTTAGAGCTCACATCTGAGGATTTGCGAATAAAAACTATTAAAACATCCTGTCGATAATTGATGCAATTTTTGATGGTATAGTTTGGGCCAGGCCGGTGGGACCATTTAAATGCCACTTACATAATTGAAGATGCATATGAAGACGAGGTTGATGCAGGCGGCGGTGGCGGTGGTGAACATGATGGGGTTGGAGGTGATGAGCACGTTGTCGTTGCGGCGCAGGATGCTGGCACCCAGCAGCGACATGCGGTACAGCACGACGCCCAGCACCGTGGCCAGCGCCAGCAGCACCAGCAGCGCCACCACGCTGAACGACATGAGCGTGGCGGGCAGCCGCATGCGCCAGAACGGCACCATCGGCTCGCGCTCGCCCGTCACCACGTTCAGCTGCCCACAAAACAATCGTGTCTTGGTTCACTTGTATTTACGTTACAAGTGAGTTTCTCCCATTGTAGACCCGTAATCTATCTGCCGCAATCGCTACATTTGGCAAGCTCGCTAAACATAATATAGAGTGCATTGTGTAGTTCGAAGAGCACCTTAACTATAGTGTTCTACGAAATTGTAGTTTTTATTTCCCAATAAATATTTGAAATGAATTCATAAGTAAGATAAAGCAATAATTATTTTGATTAATGTCGACCTTACCCGCCTCTCCACAATAAGAGTAAACGATACAAATCATAAATAGGAGTAGATCGTATATAGGACGACAGACTACCTATGTATTAGATACCGCTGCAGTACAGCGATGATTCGAATTTCAAATTGACCATGCGAAAGAATATGTCTGTCTGAGTAAAATAGATTCAGTTACTACGATATCACTGTACATACCACATGGCACATTGATTTCAAAGTAGGTAACATAGATGTTAATTTAGAATTTATACATATTTTTTTTCTATAAATGTTACAACATATCAAAATATTTAGTTAACAAATACAGATATATCATAATATTATCCAGGTACAATACTAAAATAAATATTGGTAAATCCAATTGTGCATGCCTTAAGCGCATTAAAAAAATTACGTATAACATGATTATACGTAATTTTTAAGGTAGTTTAAATAGACACAAGTTTTCACTAATAACCTTATTACTATTCTTCCAATTTTCCGATAATTGTATGTCAAACTTCAATTTTAAAAAAGTTTGGAAAATCGAGAAGTGCACGACTCATAATGCTCACATGATAGTGAAAAAATTAAAAAAAAATATAAATTGTAGTTCTATTTGTCTGTCAGTAGCAGTCACCGAAGTATACTTTCAAGTCACTCCGTCAAGTACGGAGGTCAGGTCTATTCATAACTAACAAAACGAGCCCAAACTCGGCACATCTAGTTCTCCTAGTCGAGGAGTTCCAGTAGCAGTCATCGAAGTACACCTTCAGATCACTCTTTCAAGTCCGGAGGTAAGGTCTCATCATAAGTAACAAAACGAAGCCAAACTCGGCACACCTAGTTCTACTCTTCGAGAAGTTCCAGTAGCATTCATTGAAGTACACTTTCAGGTCGGAGTAAGGTCTCATCATAACTGACATAACGAGCACAATCTCGGCACACCTTCAGGTCTCCATGAATTGCAAAACGTATAAGAATATTTTTATATAAATCCTGCGTACTTTTAGCGAAACAAAATATTGTAATAAAAATCTGTAATTATAAAAATAATAATAATATCTTACCTAGGTCAAGTATGTATCAGATATGGTTTTTGGAATATTTTGTATTTCTAAAGCGATCGATATTTTTCAGCACGAACCGCTGTAAACAAACGACCACTCACGACAGCGACTGAGCCCGAAGTAAAAAAGTACTCTGTGGCCGGGAGTAAGGCAAAGTGTATTTAGTAAAATAAATTAATACAAAGCTGCTCAAAACACAGAAAATTTACTAAAAATTATTTGCTATTTCTCAGCCGAAAAAAATTAACTATAACTAAACAAAACTAAACTAAACTGCCATTTACATTCCATGGCTTTCCACATGATAGATGAACAGTTGATATTTTCAAAAGTTATCGTGTTTACGCCTCCATGCGGACTTGATAAATCTACACCCTATGCCACTAAAACTGCTTTTTTTGTAAAAAAAAATTGATCGACTTTTAAAAAAAATAAGTTCAACAATCATTTATCTTTCTGACAATGTGCTTTTAATATCAATAATCATATTTGTACAATATGATTGTTAGATACGATTTCATGCGACAAAAGGTTGGAATCTAGATTTTTAGGCACCAGTATGTTCTACTTGCGCTTATAATTTATTTTGCAATAACCGACCAAATTTGCGGCATAAGTTCAGAATAAGTAATATAGGCAAATGGTGAAGAAAAATTAATTAAAAAATCTCAAGCATTCTGTCCTTTTCATCTTTTAAATTCAAAATGTGTGGTAATGCATTATTTTAACTGATTGTTATTCATAAATATCTGACGCCTACTATTTTACTATGCACGCACACATTCGTAAGGTTCGCTCGCACAATTGTCATGTCTTGTAAACATCCCTCATCTACGGATAGACCTCCTTTCAATTTAAATTCAAGTCGTTATACTACCAACACTACATTTAGAATTAGAGATGATGATTGTTGACCTACCTACAGAAAAAGAGAGCGAGAGAGCAATAAGAAGTAAGCAAATGAGATACCTGTCTCCGCTTAACATGTGCAAGTCGAGCCAGGTACTGCGGTCTGGGATGTTCCTCGTACACATCAAATCCAGTGAGGTCCCATCTATGAGTCATTTCAGCGGAATATCGTTTCCACAGTTCCAGGAAACAAGCGGCTGGGAGCAAAATGATACATGTTATTATAATCACGGCATTAGTGAATTATCAATTGAACAGTGCAATCTACCACCACCGAAGGCAGTGTTGATAAGTAAGGTGGTAGCGTTTAGTAGCGATGACAATGCATCTGTGGCCTCCTTTGCTTGAACTTGGTTTAATAGTACAACGTCCAGATGGATCACTCCACAAAAACGTTGAAATAAATAGCGACTCTTGTAACAACAAAATAAAGTGCAATTTAGCTAGAGCTAAGCTAGAAGAATACTGAGTGCCTGATATTATATTCACTTCAAGGTGCCTCTCTTTTTATTACGTTAGGTAGTATATGTATCTATTATTCTCCTTTTGTGAAAATGATTTTCAAATATACCTTATTAGAATCAAATTAGAAAACTATTACCATGCAAACAGCATAATATATTAGACTAAGTAAATTACATACGCGTCAACGAAACTGGAGATAACTATTTTAGGTGTTTAGATGAGTAGTCGAGTCGTACGTCATTCCACATTTGATACGCATATCAAATCTGAAACGATGTACGACTCAAACAATAATCAGAGAAACCTAGGCGCTTTTATACGTGGTAGAGCCATGCTGCATCTATATTATGGTTGTAGCACGAATGGGCCGGCTCGGCCGGGGAGGGACCACGCTCTCACAGAATACCAGCGTAAAATAGCAGCTTGACGCTGCTGTGTTTCGATGGTGAGTGTAGAGAACCGGAGACCCTTTTTACTGGAAACGAGGCATTCCATCTTAATCCTCACGGGTGACAACGCATCTGCATTTTGACTCTTAATCGAAGATAGATGTAGATGTCTATGGGCCACAGCGACCACTTACCATCAGGTGGACTGTGTGCTCGTTTGTCACCCTTATCCGATAAAAAAACAATGTAGGTATTTAAAATATTCCAACGACTGTTTAACAATAGACTCAGTTAAATAAACTGATGAAAAACGTAATTAATACGCAAATTAATTTTCTTTGCAAGCCGTACTTTTTAAGTGACAGTTGATGACAGATCGAAGTTATTGACGTTCCTATTCTCAGTTAAATCGCATTGTATGTGCATTTCGGGCAGGACGTGGCAACTCACTGAATGTAACGCCGATGAATTTGTTTTTCGTATCTAATACGCGAAGTCCGCCCAGCCCTGCCAGCTTGTTTGTGACTGTTATATGTAAAAAGAAAACACTTGGACTTAATGACGAAAACTTACCCCAAAAGCTCATAAAAATGGCGAAGAACACAGTGGTATTATTATCGAAGAGGTACGTGATCCGCGACTGGAGGCACGTGTCTCGCAAGTCCCAGTACTCGCAGAAGTAGTCGCACAGCGGACACATCTTTATCTTGGACACGTAGTTGCACACGTCTTCGCTAAAACAAACACAAAATAGATCACACATGAGATATAATGACAAGTTTACAATTATTTTATACTTTTCTTTCTAGGAGTCTGTGTTTGGGTTTATGGTCCCGTCTTGTTTATAACTGTCGCCAAGTACCATTGTAAAGAAAACCTTGTGTGAATCGTGTGCGTGTATTTATGTATCGTGATATGATCCTGTCCAAATACGTTACCTCGGTTTATTAGAGTAGACAGTTGCGGCGGAGTATATGACGCATATAAGTCCAACAATAGACGCCGGGATGAGCATATGTGTATAGAAGCCGAGCCAGGCAAAGTACAGCCCTGTAAACAAATCGATAATAATGTTTGTACTTACATAATACAAAAAGATGTAATAGGAAAGAAATAAATGAAACTAATTTTACGGATTTTATCGTGTTGAATTATAACTTTTTACTTCCGTCGGTCACTTTACAGCACCCATGGTGCCTTTTCCGGTAGCTGGCGCGACGAGTTAACTCCAAACTTTTACATTGTAAATATAAAATTTATTACTAACTCTGCCCCACAGCACCACCTATAGACTCCAGGTTTTGTGATTATCGTTCTTGGTGCTAAACCAACTTATTGTGAATATGTAAGTCATATTGGTAAATAAAAATAGAATTTGTTATAACTTAACTACAGCGCCACCTTTCGGATCTTAGCATAGCTATGAACCTTAGTCGATACAAGCCAAATATATTGTATGAATATGTCTTTCATAGGTCAATGCGTTCAGAATTTACACGATCAGCTATAGACGCACCAACGGTGATAATATATTATCATATAAATTAATAAAAAACTAAACGCTTATTTGATGCACAATGTCAATAATTTAACAAGAAATTGCTAATCTAAAGTAACTTCAAGTTTTTCTTTAATTTTAAATTTTCACTTCAATTAGTTAATACTAGAATATCAAAAAATGTTTACAGAACAGATTACACAATTTCATGCGAATATCAACCTAATCCTAACACTATAAAATTTACCTTTCTTTGACATAATAAATACGGGATAATAAAAACAATCAATTTGCATGCGTAGTTCTCGTAAGCGTAAAATAAGAAAGGCTCTTACCAATTTTTACACCAAAGTAATCCTTGACGTAATCTAACGGTTGATATTTCAAACACTTCGTTACACTCGCCCACTCCGTATACAGTAGGTATCGCATAGAGCCAGGTGTTTTTAAATTGCCCTACAACAAAAATATGATTATAATAATACGCAAAGATCGAAAATTTAAATCGAAGTACAATTTTTAGTAAGAGCCTTGGTAGCTCAGATTGTTAACACTCGCTGTTAATTTCACAGCACGCGAAAAATCCGTGTTCGATCTCCGCCGGCACCAATGAAGATGTTAATTGCAATTTTAAGTACTGATTTACCACGTGCTCGGCGGTGAAGGAAAACATCCTGAGGAAACATGTCTGTCATGTCTGAGAAATAAGTAAAATAAATATTTCGAAGACATGTGAAGTTCGCCAAGACGCTCCGGGGCAGCGCGGCGTACTTACCCTTACCCTAAAACCCTCTCAGAAATAAGAGGAGGCCTGTGCCCAGCAGTGGGACGTATATAGACAGTAACTTTAACTTTTACATTTAGTATTTATTATAAAAGGAGAAGAAAGAAACAATATAATATCGTTCGATTGATACTGTGCCATAAATATGTGCCACAAAAAAGAAAATCATGTTAATATGTCAACATTAAGGTAAAATAAAGTGAACTTTCACACATGATTCTTCAATAAATAACTTTTATTAAAAAGTAAACAACTCCAAACAACTAAAAAGAATAAAATAATTTCACATTCTGAAGTCGGTGCTAAAACATAATATTCTATAGAAGTATTAAGGTCGCGCAGATAGTGATATTATTTTTTTATGATTATACGTTAAAATACGACAGACTTTTAGCAATAAATCAGTTAGAGAAGTTAGGGTGACAAATAATGTATCTTAACCTGTTTCTTGAACAAATATTTATTGATTGAGCACGTTTAAAGTTTATTCCATGATCAGAAAAATATTTACTATAAAATGTACACGAGTACTACAAATGTAATACAGGGGACATTGGAGGGAAAGATAATATGATTCGTCAAGATGAAAACACTCACGTCATGAAGAGGATAGGCAGCACTGTACGTATTGTTCGATATAAGTCGGCCGATTCCAAACGCGAAGTCGTCGCTAGGCAACTCCGAGAAACGTTTCCGGTCCAGTATGAATTGCACGATGCGGGAGCGTATCGATGGCGTCCAGAAACAATCTGACCCAGTGTCAAACCTGTGGAAGGGAACTTATTTTTATGGGATTTAGGTTCATTATTGTATGTCATTACTTTATTCATTATCATCTTTATTAATTATAAGTACAAAAAATTAACAATACTAGTAATTTTGGATGATTAATATCAAGACGGAGGTTTAACATCGGTCACTTACATGATATGCAGAAAAGAAATCCACTGCTGTAGGAATGTATTTGCATATCGCACAATTTGAAAAACTTCTGCAGTCAGAAAAGTCTATGTACTCTGACACTAGTTCCTCCCAAGCAGGTTTTGCAGTAGCCGTAACGCTTGGTTAGTGAACATAGTGGCTAATAAGACTGCTTTTCTGTCTAGGAATCCGTCTGAAGAAATAAAACCCTCTTACATATTTCTGCCGCCAAATGGCGGCGCTAAAACCGAAGGGTACAAAGAGCCAGTACAATTACAGGCTATGAGGCTTTTCTTTCTTAGTCCTCAGCGGTGACGAACCTATGGCCTTTTTGGAACGAAGTTCTTTATCTATATTCTAACGTAGTGTAGACGATCTTGGCGGCTATAAGGAAGCGAGATGGAATAATATCTATCTCACTCGCACTTTTTCTTATCTTGCCACGAAAGAAATATTATTTAACTTTAGATGACGCTTCATTTTAATAGACGCTAGTAATTCATTTATTTGTATTTGTTCATCAATAATATAATACGTTTGTCAATAATAATATACTACGAAAGTAACTTCGTTCCAACCCAGTGTTCCACGACTCTTACGGATGTTTATTTATCTGAAGTAAGTTCTGTAAGTTCGTATGTGATTTCAAATTTCGCAGTACTAGACGCTATGAATCATAATAAATTCCTTAAGCTAGACCTAGACATATCAGTAGGCTACTTTTTTGCAAACAAACGGGATGAGATGAGAAAATTAAATCTTCATCACCGCTACTACGTAAAGTGTGAGTGAGCAGTGTGAGTGCAAAAGAAAACACATGCGTATTAAATACGTGCTTACTTAAAAGTAACCGTTAAAAATCAAAACTCACAAGTACTCCTTGTCCTTTGAGTAAATGGCTGTGAGTCGGTGCTTCCGTTCAGGGAACATCTGCGGATCTACCCTGATCTTCGACATGATGCGATCCCAGCACGCCTCCATCCGGTCTAGTACGCTGTTCGTTTTCTCTTGCACATCTTTTAATGCTGAGAACTGGACCATTATATAGACCTTAATAAGTTATCACAATGCTTATAATTAAATGTGTTAGTTAAACTGTTAAATGAGGAAAGCTTTTAGCGAGTTTTTCTATTACAGTTAAATAATATATAACATCAAGATGATTTCATTTACCTGTACTACATAATATGTTTGCTACTACTATGCTATTAAGTCTTATTATGAAATGAATGTATGATCTATGTGCGGTATTTTTAATATTTTTGAATTCTTCTATTTTATTCTATTTTGACACAAACACCAGGATAGAAACGTCTTCTTAATATAATAATAGTAGTAGTTCTAGCAAACTGAAAATATCTGTTATTGTATTTGTCATGCATTTCGACTTGCAATTAAAAACTACCAACATTCACTTATTGGTCTCACAAAAATCTTACTATTCCTATTATTTCCATAAATCATAAAATTTAATGTAGGTTATTTAAAAAACCGTTCACCAACTAACTAGTGGTTAGTCAGTACAACGTACAACTAATTAACTTGGACTTAAAAGTGCAAAAGAGAGAATGGCAATACATCTAGATGGAACTCTATTGGAGAGAGTACGGTAGGGCTGATCAAAATATGTTTAATTTTATATCCATATTATGTCCTAAACTACAAATCCCTAACAATCTAGAAGAGTATGTTTATATTTGCAAATTATTTCTTAGTCACAAAACAATAAAGCGATCACCATCACGAGTAAGCAATGAAGATGAAAAATACAAATAGAGATAGCGACACAAGTCGTGGTCACAACTTTGACGTAAGCAGTAGTCGATTCGTTGGAATTAAAGTACAAAAGAGAATGGATATTTAGTATCCTTGCCTCGCGAGCACATAAAGATCCTTCAAGTGATTAGTCTGTTAGTCAATCGTCGTCGTTTATTAGATAATCGTTTAATTCGTTGGCTGTACAGTCGCTGGAAAGTGTACATACGTGAACTTCGCCACCCACCACCGCTGTCGCTCTGTGCTGACGACTCGTTCGCGCCTCTATCAATACATACTCAGAACTATACAAAGCACTTTTATTTACAAACTAGCTGTTCCACGCGACTTCGCCCGCGTGGAATTTACTACGATTTTATGGGTTTTAATTTTTTTGCGCGGTACCCTATTTTTTTTTTCTAAAATGAAAGTACCCCAAGTTACTCCTTATGACATCAGCTATCTGCTAGTGAAAGTCCCGTCAAAATCGGTCCAGCCATTTCCGAGATTAGTCGGAACAAATAGACAGGCAGACAAAAATTTTAAAAATTGTTTTTTTTTTTTGTTATTGGTACCGTATATACTTTCATATGTATTTACTAAAAAGCTGTTATTTTAACATTACAAACAGACACTTCAATTTCATTTATTTGTATAGATATAGATGTATAGATAAACTCTTAAAAAGTTTTAATGCATATTTTATGAAGGTGATTCTAAAATGTGTATTTCTTACTATCAAACAAGTTTTTGATATTGACCATTCGATATGTAAAGAAAATTATTCGCCATGGTGATTATGAAACCGTTTAGATATTGTTACTTTATAAAACCTATTTTTCTATTTGGAAGTCTTCAAAATCAAGCACGGTATTTATTTTATGTATATCAAAATGACTCCTCTCAATGACGACATAAATTGGGCTTAGTAAAGTTAATTAATTATACAATATGTAACAAAAACCCTGTGGTTCCCGTTAAGTACATTATCAGGATCAGTATTCAAACCTATAGAAATAACTTTTGTTTTTAAAAGTCGACCATATTTTTTTATTTTTTTTTCATTTTATGTGGTTTTATTACCTCTTATTACTGACACCAGCCGATGCTAAAGCTAAGTAAAGTGAGGTCTTTGACAATCCTCTTACTCCCCAGACAATGCAGAGGTAGTAAAACCAAATACAATTTTCATACAATTTTTTTTTAATAAAATAAAAAAAATAATGTTCGTTTTTAAAAAAAAGTTCTATACGTTTGAATAATGATCCTGATAACGTGCTTAACGGGAACCACAGGGTTTTTGTTACATATTGTATATAATAAAATGTATTATTACTAATTGAGATAGAAATTAGAAATAATAAATAGAGACTAATGCTGTACTACTTCCTACTATGGATTTATTTTAATTATCAAATAATTTGGGCGAGGCGTATTTGAATCTATGTAAATGTCAAACGTCACTTTATGTAGTATATAACTGTATTATTAGTTTCAGTTTGATAAAGGTAGCAAACATTTAAGTCCACTCTATGACGTGATTGTAAGTATATTTATAATACCTTATGTATAAAGCAAACATATGAAAACAACACCTTAAAAATGTTTACATAACGAATTTATAAAAACCAACCTATTTCATAAAATTTTCAGCTATGGATGAAGGCGATGAGATGTTTTTGTAATTTATTTAATAAAATCAATACAATTTTAATAAAACCACTCAAAATCAAGTTTTCATTGTACGAAAATAATATCTATCAATGAGGAACTAATGCCATAGGATGAAGGTGTCTGAACACGCGCAACCCGCCACAGGCAAACAATAAAATGACGAGATTACTAAAGATGAATAGATTTACATTATGATGATGATTTTACAATAAAAAAAAAAACAATTATATACATTCCCCGAGGCTTAAAAGCGTATAATTAATATGATAGACGTTACGTTACACGAAACGTGATAATGACTACACCATTATAATTGTCTACAAACTTGTTACAGCATGTAACAGCAAAACTTTCCCATCACTTTTGTTTGCCTTTATCCAGTGTTAAGGCAATAACTTAAAGTTACGAGCAGCAACCATGACCATATTAATTGTTATTTGATGTTAGTCAATGTACAAAAAAAAAACAGACAATAAGAGTAAGTTAAACTAAGCTATACGCCCATATGGATTAAATGCAATAATAATAATACATACTATAAATAAAAAATCTACGTGGTAGAGCCATGCTGCAGCTATATTATGGTTGTAGCACGAATGGGTCGGCTCGACCGGGGAAGGACCACGCTCTCACAGAAAACCAGCGTAAAATAGCAGCTTAACGCTGCTGTGTTTCGTATGGTGAGTGTAGAGAACCGGAGACCCTTTTTACTGGCAAAGAGGCATTCCATCTTAGTCCTCACGGGTGACAACGCATCTGTATCTTGAGTCTTTATTGAGGATAGATGTAGATATCTATGGGTCACAGTAACCACTTACCATCAGGTGGACTGTGTGCTCGTTTGACACCCGTTCCTATAAAAAAAAAACATAATAAAATATTACTTTGTATTGTACCTCAAAAACATGTCCGGTTCTTACGACTATCGGTTTTTACGATCAAATTTAAGTAGTCCATACTATGTCGTTATTACAGATTTATATCGTATAAAATTTTCAATGTATTGAGTAAACTTGATTGGATCGGATCATAGCACTTTCTTTTTTTTATAATTTGATATTATATAAAAACCTATACCAAAAATCATACCGTTAAAAATATAAAGCAACAACTGTCAAATCGTAAGTGTCACCGAACTCGTGTTGTTATCAAATAGACTATAGATGCAATTAGTTATATTAAGTAAGATACAAAACACCTTGTCTGTAATATAAAAATGTTTGCGCGCGCATGTGTGTGTGTGGAGTCCACCAAATATTTATAATTCACTACTTACTCATCATTTATTCATCGTTAACTAACATAGGTTTCCCATACAGATTGCCTCAAAGTAACCGCAGTTTTTGACTATTGAGTAATTTTAGAAAATGCTGCTGTCTATCTACTGTTTCATTTTCATCATCCCGTGGTTGTCATGTCATTCAACTGCTTACTAATTTAAATTTTTACTTTATTTATTAAAATAAATTTAAAATCAAACTACAAAAAGTTTTCATATAAAGATTTTATCATTATATTAAATCACCGCCTACTTTTGTCAATTTCGTGTTTTTTTTTTTTTTTTTTTTTTTTTTTTTTTTTTTTTTTTTTTTATTGGATTGGGTGACAAACGAGCACACAGTCCACCTGATGGTAAGTGGTTACTGTGACCCATAGACATCTACATCTATCTTCAATAAAGACTCAAGATGCAGATGCGTTGTCACCCGTGAGGACTAAGATAGAATGCCTCTTTGCCAGTAAAAAGGGTCTCCGGTTCTCTACACTCACCATACGAAACACAGCAGCGTTAAGCTGCTATTTTACGCTGGTTTTCTGTGAGAGCGTGGTCCCTCCCCGGTCGAGCCGACCCATTCGTGCTACATCCATAATATAGCTGCAGCATGGCTCTACCACGTTATGATCAATGTTAATAAAGAATGTATGTAAGCTATCTAATATTCAAAATGAAATGTATTTTATTCAAAGAATAAATCACTATAGGCACTTATAAACAACTAGAGTTATTTTATAATCTTTTTCTTTTTTTTTTTTTTTTTAAAAACGTTACCCCCACACTAGGATTTTCTCCTGTATCGTGGAGGCAGTTTACAAACACAAATTTCACAAGGACAAACATCCAGACCCGGAACAATCATTTATAGACCATACAAATACTTGTTCCGTGCGGGATTCGAACCCGCGCCCCCCAGCGCAGCAACTCATTGCTAAGCCACTGCGCCACGGAGCCGTCTAATCGACCGTTGCACGTTTAGAAATATACTATCAACCGTTTCTAAATCGCACATGCATAAATAATAAAATAATTAACATAAATACTAATGCGCTACAACTACAACACTAAAATATCTCTTAAGTATATAATTTTACTAAATGACATTTATTCGTAACAAAGAACTGTCAAATAAATTTAATAAATAAAACGAAAAAAAAAGTGAAAGTGAGACAGATCAAGTAGAGAGAGTGGGAGAATGAGAGAGCGAGATGGAGAAGGGAGAGATGAAGACAGAGGAAAAGAAAGAGAGATATGGAGAGGCAAAGGCCTTACTCTTAAATTATTAATAGCTCACTGCTTGGCAAAGGCCCTTTGCCTTTCCAAATTTAACAGCTTAGTCAAGTATGATAGTCGATGACCGTAGTTTTAGTTAGTTATATAGTTCTCTGGCAGAGGTAACGAATTTTTCAGATGTGCGCCATGGTTACTTTTACGATATCCAAAGAAAAAAAATGAGGTAATGGATTCAATTGATTAAGCGACAATTTCCGAATAATCGAAAGCTACTTCGCATGAGACATTATAGTGTGCACCCAAACATAACAGGCGTACGCCCTAACCTATTTTTAAATAACTAAGGGCAAACGAGCACACAGTCCAACTGTAGTATGTGAAAACTTTGGTCCATAGACGCTTACGATGTGTGGGGTGACAAAATTTGATAAAATCAGAAACGGATGTGTCAGACATAATTTGAAAGTGGCCCCAGGCACAGAAAAGTTGAGAAGTGGCAGGCTAGCGTGATATGGGCATATGAGAAGGGAAGAAAATCATATAACAAGAAGAATATTGGCTATGAAAGTGGATTGATATAAGTGTAGAGGGAGGGCTAGTAAAAAATTCGATAGACTATGTCAGGATTGATATGCGTAAGAAAGGAGTGAGTGAGGATATGATATAATAGTGGAGAATGGAAGAGGAAAACATGCTATTCCAACCCCAATATAATTTGGGATAAGGGCTGGAAGAAGAAGGGAATATAAAAGACTTCACAGCTATTTAAATCGAAAACTGTTAGTAACAACGAATAAACAAGTTCTTGCTTTCTTTCAACTTATTGAAAGTAAAGGGGAATAAAAAATTATGACAAAAATTTAAAACTATAGTCGAATTAATAAAATTCATTTGACAGTAAGTTGTTAACGAATTTTCATACAATACACCCATATAGCCACCTTATAGACATACATATAACTTTGCTACACAGCTATTATGTTACTAGAAGCGCCATGTTGGTTAGCAAAGCGAGCGGGCGCAGTCGTGAGAACATCTGCATACCTTCGACATATACATGGCGGCATTCAGTATTGCATTCGTCCTCCCACTTTTTCTTATTTTACTGCAGTCCTATGAACGTACATACAATTTAAAAAACCTCGTGTTGTGAGCACAAATGCGTGCGATTTGTGCTGTCAAATTTTCGTTCAAATGTCATTGCACTATGGCGTGATTGATTAATTATTTTCAGTGTTGTGCTTCAATCCATGTATGAATACAAATTTTATGGACAAATCTATAACATTATTTTATACTATATTTTAATATTTATATTGTAGATAATAACTAGTTAGAGATACACGATATGCAGAAATTGACTATTCTATTTAATTTGAATCATGAATGTGTTTTATCTTTAAAAAAATATATGCTTTTTATTTTTAATAATCATTTTGTAATTTAAAAAAAGAATAAGTCTAGTTTATTGGCAATGCATCCACAGACTACTTCAGTAAATTAAAAAAATGCCATTTCCTATACGAAGCTAAAGCCTAGTCCCACAAATAATTTAAGCCATAACATTAATCTTGCCAATACGTAACTCATAAAATTTTATGTATTTACAAACCTTCATAGGCATTCGAAGCTTCAGTATTTCACTGTAGTCCCTTAACACTCCCAACGGCGCGTGTATCTGAACAAAAGAAACACTTTTTAAGTCAAAATTAAAATTGTTGCGGCTGATCGTAGATATGATTGTCGTCGTTATGAGCATAATGAGGCTTCATTGTTATTGTTTTCATATTATTTGTATTGTATTTTTTATTATTGTAGGCGGACTAATGATCGTGGACGCCTCGCACAGTAAACACCGCTCCGTGACAGCAGTTTAGGTACTTTATTAACCCCTATGCCGGTAATTGTTGGGAGCACTAAGCTCGAAGTTGTCGACGAGTATGTTTATCTGGGACAAATATCCGACTGGGTAAGTCCAACTTCGACCGACAGGTCAATCGACGGATTCAACTCGACTGGGCAGCGTTCGGGAAACTACAGCACATCTTCTCGTAAGGTATACCTCAAAACTTAAAAACGACACCGTACAACCAATGCCAATGTTGCCAGTGGCCGGATGAGGAAGCTCAAGGTCGCTCAGCGAGCTATGGAGAGGGATATGTTCGGAGTTTCTATGCGTGATAAACTTAGAAAAGAGGATATCCGCAGTAGAACTAGTATAATTAATTAAGAACGAGTAGAATTAGTAAGCTGAAATGGGAATAGGCCGGCCATATAGCTCGAAATCCGACAACCGATGGGGAACGAAGGTTCTCGAGTGGCAGCCTCGTACCGGCGGACGAAGTGCAGGGCGTCCCCCCACTAGATGGAGTGACGACCTGGTAAGACATGCAGGAAGTCTATGGATGCAGGTGGCTCAGAGAACCGTGCTTTGTGGCATTCCTTGGGGAAGGCCTATGTTCAGCAGTAGACTTGTGAAGGGCTGTAATGATTATGATGATGATGATGATGATTACCTTAACGAAATGCAAGCCGTGCAAGTCCTCCGGCGCCTCTCTCTCCAACTGCAGTCCCTCGGCCTCGAGGTTCTGCTCGAATATTTTTCTCTGATGGAAAGCCTCGGGAGTGGTGGCGTCCTCCTTCCCCGCCTCCCATACAAGCACGAAGTCCACCGAACGGACGCCATCGTTGAAGGTCAGTGACGGGTTGTTAAGAATGCCACCCATAACTATCCTGTTCAGACATTTTATTGTTGATTAATGCCCATACACTCAAACTCTACTCTTTTAAGATGCAGTTAAGACTCATGCTGTCTCTATCACATTAAGTCAAACTGACTGTGACACCACGAAACTTAACGGCATCTTAAAATTGAGCTGTGTTTGAGTATATGGCCATAAGTGTGTTTACTACATGCATATTTATATATATAAAAGAAAAAGTTAGAATAATAACTAACTATGTAAAAGAAAAAGTTACAATAGTAACTAACACCATTATGGTGGTATTTATGGTGTATGTGCGTTGGGCGTGGATGGTGAAGTAGATGAAAATTCGTACTGTAAATTCTATGACATGAAGGTGTCCAAACGGAGTTTTTCATCACTGGTCTGTCCAAATCAAAAATATATATTTAATTTGCATCAGAACAGGTTATTAAATCTAGTGTACTATGTAACTTAAGGCTTGGCTGCCTACCGACCACGCTACCGTCCGATCTCTAAAAGAAAATTCTAAACATTTAATAATTTCATTAATTTTATTTATTAAGAAAAACCTATTTATAACAATTCAAAATTATCCGCAAAAACCTTCGCCTTTAGAAAATTATATATAGATATTGAAATGAAATGAAAGTTTATTGTTTCAACGTAAAGTGGCGTAAGGATGTCTACTATCCCATATCGTTCCCTGGTTGTCCTTTATTCCGATCGTCGTTGAGGCGATCCATTCGAGCTATAACCACAACACAGCTGCAGTATGGCCCTTCCACGTATAAGCGGCGGTTCAGCAATGGACTTTAGTAGGCTGTAATGGTATAAACGGCACGACTGATCTGATTGACTGACATTTGCACTACCTACACAATAAAGACGTGAATCTGATCTGATTGACTGACATTTGCACTACCTACACAATAAAGACGTGAATTACACCAAAGATAAGAGTAGAAGGGGACTTGATTGAGCAAGTGGATGAGTTTGTATATTTGGGATGTTTATTTAGCAGGGATGGTAGATATGATAAGGATATAGAACGACGAGTGAACGCAGGAAATAGAGTGAATGGGGCTCTACACGCTATTGTGAGGAGTCAGAATGTGTCAACTAAGGCACGTATGGCAATTCATAATGCTGTGTTAGTACCCACTTTAATGTATGGTAGTGAAAGTTGGGTCTGGCAGAAGAAGCATGAGAGTAGAATAAATGCTGTAGAAATGCGTTCCTTAAGGAGTATGCTAGGGCTGAATCTGAATGACAGGGTGAGAAATAGTGTAATAAGAGAAAAGTGTGGTTTGCAAGATGACGTTGTGACAAGAATTAAGAAAGGAATGCTTCGGTGGTTTGGTCACGTAGAAAGAATGAACGAGGAAAGAGTGACAAAGCAAATTTATGTTGCAGAAGTGAACGGCAGGGTCGGGAAGGGACGCCCTAGACGAAGGTTTATCGACCAGATCGGCGATACATTGAAAATGGGCCAGATTAGGAGTACCCTTAACCGACGAGCGTGTATGCTTAATATATGGATGTAAAAGAGGCGAGAGAGGTGTGTCAGGATCGCGCCAAATGGAAGTCCGTAGTCTCTGCCTACCCCTCTGGGTGACAGGCGTGAGTGTTTATGTATGTATGTATGTATGTATGTATTATAAAAATTACATTTATTTATTTTTGATATTTTTAGGCATTTATTATCTATGTCTCAAAATTATGCTTTTACTTCAAGGTTTTTTTTTATAGGATCGTGTGACAAACGAGCACACCTGATGGTAAGTGGTTATTGTGACCCATAGACATCTACATCTATCCTCAATAAAGACTCAAGATGCAGATGCGTTGTCACCCGTGAGGACTAAGATGGAATGCCTCTTTGCCAGTAAAAAGGGTCTCCGGTTCTCTACACTCACCATACGAAACACAGCAATGTTAAACTGCTATTTTACGCTGGTTTTCTGTGAGAGCGTGGTCCTTCCCCGGTCGAGCCGACCCATTCGTGCTGCAACCATAATATAGCTGCAGCATGGCTCTACCACGTAGAAAATTATTGATCGAACGGCAGCTTATCTCTCCATACAGCCCAATCATTAGTCAGTGTCAAAGAGAACACGCAAAAAAAATGCAAAAATAATGATTGTACTCAATTGCAATTATTGTAATCAATTTGAATATTTAAAGTGTAGTAAATCAGACCTATTTACAAAAGCCATTTTTCAACATTTAATTTAACTTTTACGACATTATCCAAATCGATTAGTTCCGACGACACAAATTGATCAACGTAGGCGATTTTCGTACATCATCATCAAATCACAAATTTTAAAAAGTCTTTCTTTAATTTGTGATCTACTCGTACATTTCTATCTGTAATGCCTAATATTTGAGATGATAATTTGTAAGTCAATCAAGTCAATCAGCATAATAAGAGGATATCCTTTATTCTTATCCGATATTCTATTTTTCTCCCTGGATATAAGGAATAGGAACAAATGTTTTTTACCGCTACCGTTACAGCCTATTAAAGTCCACTGCTAAACTTAGTATTATTTGCTGATGATACTTCCTTGATTTTTAAACTTTCAACACAATCATTTAAATGTGACGAAGTGAATAATGCTATATCAAAATTAGTGCATTGGTTTAAAGTTATGTTAAAAATCTTTGTACCAATGTTTTTTTAAATGGGGAAGAACTGAGCCCTGTTGAATCCACTGTTTTTCTTGGCATCACTCTGGACGCAAAGCTTCAGTGGGGCTCACATATGTCCAAACTAGCAAGCAGACTAAGTTCTGCAGCCTATGCTGTAAAAAAGATTAGAGGTCTCACTAGTGTCGAGACAGCTAGATTAGTTTATTTCAGTTATATCCATAGCATAATGTCTTATGGGATTTTGCTATGGGGAAATTCGGCTGATTCAGAAACTATTTTTGTTTTATTTTATTTACAACCTAAAACCGAGAGTCTCTTAGAGATAAATTTAAAGAAATAAATATATTAACTTTGGCCTCTCAGTATATTTACGAAAATTTAATGTATGTTCACAAAAACAAAGATAGTTTTAGTAAAAAAAGTGATATACATTCTGTAAACTCTAGGAACAAACACAAGCTAGTGATGCCAGTTTCTCGACTCCACAGAGTCAGTAATTCATTCTTGGGACCATGTATACGCTATTACAACAAGGTCCCGCAAAGTGTACATGCTCTCTCTATTACCAAGTTTAAATGTTTTGTTAAGTTGGAACTGTATAAAAAGGGTTATTATAGTATAAATGAATACATGGTTGATAATAACCCCTGGGAATGAGGTGGTCGCTTCCAAGCTGTTTCTAAAATAAATTTTGTACTTGTACACTGTTGTTGTAAACGTTGTACAACCATAAATGTGCAATTTGCTTTAAAAAAAAGTCCCGCTGGGTTTCTTGCTGGTTCTTCCCAGGACAGAGGGTTTTTTTTCGAACCAGTGGTAAAGTAAAAAATTACTTTCAATAAGAATTACACATGTGATCTATATTGAATAAAAATTATTCTATTCTATTCTATTCATAGGCTTCCCCCTTAGATTGTCTTATAGGTGATATTTTCCATAGTTGCCACGCTTTCGCAAACGGTTCGGCAACCGCAGTTTTTTATATTTAGTCGTTGTTAAGAAGACGCTACTGCCTATCTCCTGATTTGTTTCCATCCGTTGTCTCGTACGACGCCCACGGGATGATATGGGATAGTGGAATTTCTTAGACTGCCAACCGACTGACCTCTTAATTGTAAATCTCTTACAACATTAGCTTCTAAACAGCCCCCCCCCCCCATTAAATTTATATAAAGTAAAACAAAGTGTAAACTTACAATCAAAACATGCTATATAGAAAACCAAACCACATTCTCATTTTTTAAAGGTTCAATGGATTTCAAATATACAACATGTAACAAAAACCCTGTGGTTCCCGTTAAGTACGTTATCAGGATCAGTATTCAAACCTATAGAAATAACTTTTTTTTTAAACTCGACCTTTTTTTTTAGTTTATTACAAAAAATTTTTTAATTTTATGTGGTTTTATTACCTCTTACTGACACTAGCCGATGCTAAAGCTAAGTGAAGCGGGGTCTTTGACAATCTTCTTACTCCCCAGACAATGCAGAGGTAATAAAACCACATACAATTTACATACAATTTTTTTTTATTAAAATAACAACACATTACAAAATAAAGAAACTTTTTCCCGCTAGTTCTAAGTTAAATCACCTTCCCTCTTCTGCTTTTTGTGAAAACTGCTAGAAAGAGCATCTATACTGTGTACATCAAGTAAGTAGGCATAAATACTATTCCAACTTAACCTTTTAACCTTTTCTCTCAATTCGACTACATATAGCCATATAGAACAGGGGTAAAAGGTTAAAGGTAAAAAAACATTTTCTTTTTGGTAGTATGTTGCGCGATATCTTCGTCAATTTTCAACCGACCTTAAAGATTATTTATTATTAAATGGGTTAGACTTCATGGATTGTCCCATATAAAATTCAAAAAAGTTCTACCCGTTAGGTTCTGAAAAATAAAGTTTTTAATGTAACTATTTAGATGACATTATATTACATAGTTCTCTGGTCCAATCAAAAGCGTAAAAAAATTAATCTTTCAATAAAAAGTAAAATCTATAATATATGAAATAATTTCCGCATAACAACTTCTAAAGTCGGGACTTTCATTCTTCTGTACATCCTAACAGACCACTGAATTCAGAAAGTATTATGTAAAAATTAATTTTTTAATTTTTCAAAATTTAGTTCTTTGCGAAGATTTTTGATACTAGCTATAAGGTATTTTGTGTAATATTTTTTTATCAAAATATTAATTTCTATTTTACCTAAACTTTATAGCTATCATAAAACTTATATAAAACCTTTATATATGCTATATTATGGTTGTAGCATAAATGGGTCGGCTCGACCGGGGTTAGAACCACGCCCTCACAGAATACCAGCGTAAAGTAGCAGCTTAATGCAGCTGTGTTTCGTATGGTG